GTCATGATAGTAGATGTCATGAGAATATAATAGTATATGTGGCCTGAATATAATTTTTAAACCATTGAAAATAGAACTCATACAAACATGAAATGGACATCTGTCAAAGTTTTGTCCAACTCATTAATTAATAAGGGAACCACATAAATAGTAAAACTGGTTTGAAATCTTTTTCAGGACTAAAAGTAGTCACTTTAAAGAAAAAGAGTGCTAGGATAAATACCAGGTTAGATATAGAAGTAATTAATATCATACCGGGCAACAGTGATCTTTTCTACTGGACTGGAGTCTACAAGTTAAAGTCCACAGTGTTTGCACTTGAATCCAATATTACACAGCAAAATCAAGGTCAAGTAAATTCCCCTACATGCTTAATAATCCTTGGGTGGGCTTATTAAACAATGCTCCATATGACATTGAGAGAATATGCTGTAGTCCTTTCTGATTTCCAAGTCTTGAATAAGCATTTTTTTAAGTTCATTTATTTATTTATTTTGAGAGAGAGAGAGAGAGAGAGAGAGAGAGAGAGAGAGCCAGGGAGGGGTAGAGAGAGGGAGAGAGAGAGAATCCCAAGCAGTCTTCGCACTGTCAGCGTGGAGCCCGACAAAGACTTGAACCCAGGAACTGTGAGATCATGACTTGAACTGAAACCAAGAGTCGGATGCTTAATCCACTGAGCCACCCAGGCACCCCTAAGTCTTGAATAAATTTTTAACAGTGTTATTGGCTATTACAAGTACTTAACTGACTCAAATACATAGGTGTAGTTTGTTAAGTTTTTAATGCCTCCACATTTGTTTATTGAGGGGCTGTACAACATGGTAAAAACACTTCAGTAAGTCACTTACTGTATGACTTCCAGCAAGTTATAACCTCTCTGCTCTACTGTCTTCTACTGTAAAGTGAGGAACTGCAATTTTAGAATTTCTCCCAGTTTTAAAATACAGTTGTTTTTTAAGAATGGGATTATAAAGGGCAAAATATCTTGGTCCTTTAGCTGGTGTCTGTAGTTAGGCAACAGGGCCCCCTAATGGTCTTTGATGAATTCTGGGTAGGTTGGCCTTCCACTTATCCCAGAATGTCTGAGAAGTTCTCCTCACTAGAAGTTTGGCAATATCTTACATTAGGACCCTTGATTTAATTGGTCTAAGCATGTTATCTAGTGCCACAATAATACTGCATAACAAATAAGTACAAAATTTCAGTGGCATACGTAAACATTATCTTTTAATCTCAGGCCTGTGAGTTAATTGAAAAGTTCTGTTGATCTTTATTAGGCTTGGTTGGGCAGTTCATCCTTTCTCAGCTGAGAAAATTCATGTGTCTAGTGGTCATCTAGCTGTTGGATGACCTGGGCTAGCCTCACTGGGGTGACTGGCTCTGCTCCAAAGGATCTTTTCAGCAGTCTAGTCCTAACTTGTTGTTGACAAGTGGTGTTGATGACAGTGTTTTGAAAGAGAGTGGAAGCAAGAAGTCTTAAGGCTAAGACAGAAATGGCATACCATCATTTCTGCGACATACTGTTGGCCAGAAAAAAGTTATAAGGAAGACTGTGGGGGAAATAAACTCCATCTCTTGATGGGGGAGGAATGGGAAATTCATATCACATGGGGCATGACTATGGAGAAGGAGGAAAAATTGGTGCAGTTTTTGTATTTAGTCAAAGATACAGAACATGATTCACATTTGGGATTTCAGGAAGTTCCAGAAAGATACTGATCTGGAGGGAAAGAAGACAGAATCCTATAAATGTTCTTGCACTTTCTTCTGGGGCCCAGCTAAGTCACTTCCAGTTAGTTTCATTCTTTCAGGTCTTACTTTTAAAATTCATTCAGCAGAACTAGAGTTTTGTGGGTTTGGGGCTAATTACTCCATATTACTGAGGCAAGGTCATTCTTAGTACTCTACCAAGCGCTCCGTGAATGGTGAGATTTTGCGGTCTGACTGGTGGGAACAGGCATTATTTCTGGCTTTGTGTTTCAGGTACTTTCTTCTCATCGTTTTAGGGCATTCTTTTTATGGCCAGGTAGTACTTCACTCTCAAACTGATCTGTGCTTAGCAAAATAGTCAATGGCTACTCTCTGATTTTTGGAGTTCTATCTCTCTCTTATTACCTACTTATTATGTATGTATGTATGTATGTATGTATGTATGTATGTATTTATTTATTTATGTACACTTCTCTGTTACTTTTTCCTGTGAATTCTAGCCATCTTGATTTCCCCAGATTTTCAGCTCCAACTCCTCAGTTCAGGGAATCTGTCATATTTCTCCTGGATTCTCCTCTCCTCTACCACAGCATGGAAACACTTTCAAGTTTGTTTCCTCTCTCTTGATGATTATGATTTTATGTCATCCAGGGCTCAGAGTCTTCAAAAAATAATTGTTTCACATATTTTGTCCAGATTTTCTTTTCTTTTCTTTCTTTCTTTCTTTTTTTTTTTTTTTTTTTTTTTTTTTTTTTTTTTTTTTTTTTTTTTTTTGTCATTTATACAGGAGAGTAAATTCAGTCCCTCTTACTACATTTTGACCGGAAGTAGAAATCTCTAATTCTTAGAATTTAGTTTTTGGATTAATATGAGTTTTTATTTATTTTTTTTTTTAATTTTTTTTTTCAACGTTTATTTATTTTTGGGACAGAGAGAGACAGAGCATGAACGGGGGAGGGGCAGAGAGAGAGGGAGACAGAATCAGAAACAGGCTCCAGGCTCTGAGCCATCAGCCCAGAGCCTGACGCGGGGCTCGAACTCACGGACCGCGAGATCGTGACCTGGCTGAAGTCGGACGCTTAACCGACTGCGCCACCCAGGCGCCCCTAATATGAGTTTTTAAAGATTTGGGGCAACCTAACTTCTGGTGGAAGAAGACATTATGCAAATATCAGATTATACTTGAAAAATATGTTTCTTTCCTGTTTGTTTAATTGATCCTTTCTTACTCTCTTCCCTTCCCTTCTTAATATATTCATCATTTTACTACAGTTTGATCTTCACTATATTTTACTTTTTGTTATATTTTTGATTGTATTGTGTGTGGGTATGCATCTTGTCAATGATAGGGTTAGCTCTCTTAATGTTGTGGATATAACTTATCCTTCCGTATATTCTTCACTGTGTGTATGACATTTCAAAGTTAATGTTAATCAATTAACATTATTCCTTTACGTAAAAAGGGACTCAAAATCTGAGGATTAATTGACATTTACAATGTGCTTTGTAGAGGAAAAGTGTAAAAGTGCAGGGTAAACAATGATACCTTCAGCTTTTTTTTTTAAGTTTATTTATTTTTGAGAGAGGCAGAGACAGCATGAGCAGGGGAGGGGCAGAGAAAGAGGAGAAAGAGAGAATCCCAAGCAGACTCCGCACTGTCAGTACAGAGCCCCATGAGGGGCTGAAACTCATGAAACCATGGGATTGTGACTGAGCCGAAACTAAGAGGTGGACACTTAACCGACTGAGCCACTCAGGCTCCCCTGGTATCTTTAGCTTTTATGTTGATGTCGATTTTGGTTTCAATTTTCTCCACCAAAATTAGGTGTCATATGTTAGACTACAATTTCTCATGAGTTTGACTGCAACCTGCTTAGAAGAATACTCCAGCCTGACATGAAGAATACTTTGTAAACCTCTCAGATCTTTGACTCTACATTTTGTGAGGCTTTTACTCTTTCTCTACTTAGCAAATTCGCAGTCATAATTCACAAATATATTACATATGGATTAAACACATTCAACCTAGTTGATGGGTGTGGTATTGAAAAAGGATTCTATTTGTAGAATAAACATTTCTCCGTAAAATGAGCTTTCAGTTAATTGTATGTGATATTATCTGTGACATTTCTTGTATACTGTCTCCTTCTAATCACCCACCTGTGAGCTGGTCTTCTTCCTCTCTCTCTCACCTCTCCTTCCTCCTCTTTTCACTCACCACCTATTTCATAAAATGGTAAGAGGAGAAGGTATAGAAAGTAATTACAATATACCCTTAATGTAGCTTAGAATAAACATAATTAAAGAGGAAACATTTTTGCAAAAAACTCATGGTATATTCTAAAGACAGACATGACTATTTTGGGAATCATTTGAGCAATTATTTTCCTTCATTAGCATGGACAGTCTATAGTTGGCTATCCAGGTACTTATCGTGCCTGTCAGAATATAAGGAGAATTAATTTTAAACTTTATCATGCATCTTTATTCAAATATAGTCTTGTTCTACACATAAAATAAAGGGATGAGAAAATAAATGGATGAGTTCCATTTTGATTTAAATGCTCTTTATTGGTAAATAGTTTGAATTCAGATATTTATGCAATGATATGGTGATGCTGTTTATATGTCTAATATAAAATTTTGTTTAAAACTAGTGTTCCTTTGTATATTCATTATTGTGGTGAAAAAATAAAACGCATTAGGCCTTCCAGATTTTATAATAATGTGTGTGCGTCCATGTAAGATTATGAAAATAAGTTTCAGGGATTTGGAAATTTAAGCTTTTGGAGTTTCCTTTTTTCAAGGAATGTCATGCACATATATATGGTTGTTATTGTTTTTCTGTGCACAAGAGTAAGTACAGTTCTTGCTGTTTATAAAACAGTCATATAGAAAACTCATTGAAGTGTATACAACCTATCACAAAATATCATTTACAATAAAACTGAAGAAAGTTGTATCGCTATCTTCATGAACTTCTCAAATAAAATCAAGCATAACTCTAGTTTAGAGCTCTAATAGCCAAATCTTTCTATAGATTTGACTTCTGACCATTTATGAGACTGGAAATATTTTGAAATAGAAGATTTTGGATTCACTTTCAAATGTATTCATGTTTTTTTTTTCCTTAGGTATTTTTAAGCTTTTACAGTAAGCTGAATGGATATCGTATATGAGTAAACATTTATATCATAGAAACAACTAATTTTAGTTATTTGTTCCCTTTAATTTTGTATTAATTTACATAGGATGACATAATCATTGTAATTTTTAATATACCTTTTCAGAACACAAATGCCAATCTGAATATGAGAAAAAGAACAAATGCCTTGGTTCACTCTGAATCTGATGCTGGCAACAGAACTGAGGTGGGAAACCATTCGAGCAAATCCTCCACAGTTATTCCAGGATCTTCTGAAGGCACATCGCAGTCTTACTTAGCTTCCAGTCCGAACCCATTCAGCCATGCGAATGCAGCCGAAACAATATCTGCTGCAAGAGCACCTCTCTCTGCTCCTCCCTCTACTCCTGGGAGAACTGGGGACGTGCCCCAACAGGCTTCTGCTGGACCTGCTTCTACCCAGCGTGTGTTTGGATCAAGACTGGAGCGAATTAAGACCACTGTTAATACCACAGGGGCTTCTGGGAAGTTGTCAGCAACTACTCCTCCTTCTGTCCCACCGCCGTCTGGGTCTGGCACAAGCAAAATAGACAAATATGCCCGTATTCTCTTTCCAGTAACATTCGGGGCATTTAACATGGTCTATTGGGTTGTTTATTTATCTAAGGACACTATGGAGAAATCAGAAAGTCTAATGTAATTTTGTCGCTAGAATAGTTTCCTAAAAGATGATGACCTTAATACAGAATGCCTTTTTACATGTTTTTAAAGATAAACCATTATTCTTTATTAAAATAAAAAGCCTATGTAATTTTTACATTCAAAAACAATCCAAGCCAGTTATTGGGAGAGTTAATCCATCCCTCAGTGAAGAGAGAGTGAGCCATCTTTCATTTCAGAAAAATGATTTGAATAGAATCAATTCAGCATTCAAATTAGATGAAATACAGACCATCCTGGAAAGTTGGGACAAGAGAAATAGGGCTATTAGAGATACATGGTTCATATTTATGCATTGGAATTTGAAAATAGACTATGACATTTTTAAATATACACTATGAATATCAACCAACAACCCTAAATTTCCCAGTGGCGCTGCCCTTAATCAGAATTGTTTATTGGATATCCTATGCGGTGACCTTTGGAGATTCTTCTAGTATCAGCAAGAAAAGGACTTTCTCTGTTACATGAAACATTTTTTAAAAGGAAAATGGAACAAAACAAATACTGACTAATAGAGTGAAACCTCTGCTGCGTCAAAAAACAAAAACAAAGGCCAGCGAAGACATGTTCCCTGTCTTATGTTGGTCAAACAGGACTTAAAACACTTGACTTGAAAAATCTGTGCTTTGAGCCAAAGTTTAACTCCTTGTATGAATTCTTTTTGACAGTAGTTCATTCAGTTATGTATTATTTCAACATATAGTTATTCAGAGCCTACTGTGTTCCATGCACTATGCTAGACACTGTCTCTCTAGGAAAGCTCTTTCACCTTAACCTATGATATTACTTGAATAGTAGAACAGTCAATGCATGCTAATGAACCATAAACTAGCAGAGAACATTGCATTCTTTAATGGAAGAAATTTATTTAGAGTCTGACAACATATTGAAAACATCTGTTTCTCCTATACCGATAGAGGGTAACACGTTAGCACAACCTTAGCAATTGACTTCAAAATATAGGAAAATGTGTACAGATGGTTCTCTAAGTAAGAAGCACTGCCTACCAGAGAATAAAACTCTGGGCACTGTAAGATCCTATAAATTATCTGTCTCAAATTTGATCAGAATAGTAGGATAGAATTTGATCAGAATCATCACAATTAGGAACTCAATACAAGGCCTTTTAGATGCTTTTCCAAACATAGATCTATTTTGGCTGGTGAAATGCTAATCTTCTGGGAAGTTTTTGTGTCTGTAGTTTTGTATTTTTGGGAAGTTTGGGGGGGCAGGTTTTGTACAGTATCACAACTAGGGTGAGTATTTTAAAATTAAAAGAGTAGCTGAGGAATGGAGTAAAGAAGAAAACTCATAGCCAAGGGGTAGGATTCTGCTGACTCTGTTAATGCAATTTATCAGGATTTTCATGTACTGACTTTTCTTTTTCATTAGGTAGGCTTAACAACTTAATTAAATTTCTTGCAGCTGTCTTATGACACTAAATCTAGGTCTAGTTTTTTGTTTTGTTGCTTCCAGATTTTTCTTCTATTCTTCTTTTTTTCCTGATCTAGGTTGTGTGAATGAATGTATTCTGGATGTTTGGGGGAACATTTTGATAAAAATGGCCACTTTCCAAGCAAAAATCTCTTATTTTTAGAAAAGAAATATTAATTAATTGACATTAGTCTTTCAGTTATTACATTGCCTTGGAATGATTGTATATGAGAACTGTAAAATGTGCAAATGCCAAATATTGTGAGTCATATCTGAGGATACCTTTTTTTGCTATCACTCTAGGTATATCCTAGAATCACTAACAATTTTAAGGCTGAAAGATGCTTTAGAATTCATCCAATCCAAGCCCTCATTTATAAATTGATACCAGTAATATGAGGCCAAATAAAATTTGTACATATGTAAATATTTAATGAAGAGTAGTACTTGTATAGAAAAGCTTATCACAAATTATTTTATGAATGTAAGTAGATTTCTAGCCTTGAGGACAATTCTTGAAATTGTGGTTGGAAGCTATGATTGTTTATTATTCCAATGAAAAGACCTTATTTCTTTAGTGAAGAATATACTCCTTACTTATTCATTGGCCTATTCTTAAGAAATATCTTATTGGCTTCCTTTTTAAAAAAGAAATTCTTCTATAAATTTTACAGATTTTAAAGGGATAAAAATCAATGATATTAGATTTGTAGACAAGGGATCCAGGTGAGCCTATGGTTTTTTTTCTTTGTTTGTGAAGAAGATTTTAGGACAAGTCAGGTGGCCCAACAAAGAGAAAGGGCAAAATTAACCAAGGATTACTTTTTTTTTTTAATTTTTTAATGTTTACTTATTTTTGAGAGACAGAGCAGGAGCAGGGGAGGGGCAGAGAAAGAAGAAGACACAGAATCCAAAGCAGGGTCCAGGTTCCAAGCTGTCAGCACAGAGCCCAACCAGGGGCTTGACCCCACAAGCTGTGAGATCATGACCCCAGCTGAAGTTGGACGCTTCACCGACTGAGCCACCCAGGAACCCCTAACCAAGGATTCTTAATTGTTAATTTAAAGAATAAATTGATCAGAAAGGAAGTCTAATGATTAGTACAAAAAGGGATTATTTCATTTGTACACAATGTTCATAACAATAACAATAATAATAATGCATATTTTATTTTCCCTAACTGCATTTCATCAAATTAAGTCATAGTTAAATATTTTATTTTGGTCTTCATTCCTATCTCTCTAATAACTCATAGCTACATTAAACAAAACACTTTTATGAAGGACCAGTCACTTTTCACCACGAGCAAATCTTGCAAGAGTCATTAGGAGCGCTCAGAGTCTTGGTAATTTGTGAAGAATTCTGGCTCAGAATGGTGACTTTGTATGGCTCTATCTTTTAAAGATGAAATTCAGAATTTTCTTATTCAGAACCAATATCTATTTTCTAGCTTTCAACTCCAAGTTGGTTACTAACTCCTACATAATTACTTCCACTTTACTCCAAGCATGACTAGGTATAATAATATATTTATATGATTAATCTGCTGCTAAAAATGACTTGCCCTTGTTAATATACAGAGTATTTGAACAGTGTATATTTTAAATCGGACCCCACAAACCTTGAATTAGAGTAGGCAGAAAGTAGAGTCACTCTCTTACCGATGGAAATGAATCATAGAGAAGCCAGTGACAAAGACTACAGCAAGGGGCTGGAATTAACTTTGAAAAGTCATTTTTCAACCACATCACCTTAGCAGTGACCATGGTTCAAGCAGTAAGTATGATATTGCTTGTGACTTATTTTACCCATGAACTGGTCAATTCTGCCTGACCTAGAAAAAAATCCCCACTCCCCACTCTCCCATTTTCCAATGGTCCCCTCTTCTAGATTTGTGAAAAAAACCTCCAGTGACAAAAACACCGGGTGGAGAAATGGGTGACCTAATTTCAAGTTCTGACTCTATTGTGGTTTTAAACGAGTCACTTAACCTTGCTAGGCTTGATTCCTTATGTATAAGAGAATGGGAGGATTAAATAATATCTAAGCTTTCTTTTAATTTTAATATTTTCTGCTTCTCATAGTACACTAAATACAGGCATATTCTTAGAATGGATTACACTCAATATATTAGAATAGGTACACTCAATACTTTGTGCCACAAATAGATGTTTATGGGGGAAAAGAAACTGATTTGGTTTCACTGCTTAATTACTCCAAGTTCGTGACTTGAATTAAACGACAGTTCCCTGACCTTAAAAAAAGAACAAAAACAAAACAAACAAACAAACCAACCCCTATCCATTTAGATTAGATATTTTCTTCTCTGTGGAAGATTTTACTCTTAAAAACTAAAAAAAAATTGGTCATTTCTCTTTTCTGGGTTGTTATTCATCTTTGCTAAATGGGTTCCTGCTCCATTTTAGGGACTGTGCTGATTTTTAGATATACATAGAGAAATGAAACTGGTTCCTTTCCTTTTATGTGGTCCCAGTCTGGTAGTGATAATAGATGTGTAGATGAGTAGCTATGGATTGTAGTAAGTGCTTCAGTAGTATAGAGGAGGGCTAAAACTAGGGTGATATGCGTGAGCCCTCACCTGAAACAAAAAATATATAGAAATCAGTAATCAGGATAAATGCTATTTTGAAAGAGTATTTAAAAAAATCAAACTTGATGCAAAAACCTATGATTAACAAAATACCCAAATTTTAAGTAAATATAGGATCAGTATTAATATTTTTTTTCTTTTGCATCAGGCTTTACTATTGTGCAGCATGGTGCTGATACAGAGGGTGGAAAAGGATGCACATAATTTTTTAACTTGGTTCATAGTGTGGAAAAAAGAGTGATGGCAGGGAAGGCTTCACAGAGATGATATTGAACTGAATTGTGTGGAAAAATTTGGAGTTCCAGCCCCTTTGCCTACTTCTACAAACAAACAAACAAACAAACAAACAAACAAACAGCACATTTTTTCCCACCACCTGAAACATGAGGAACTCTTACCACAAGTGGTTCCAGGTAATAGGAAGAAGGTGAGTTAAGGGAAGTGAAAGATGTTCATGTAGGAAAGACCTGTTGGGACTGGATTAGAGAGTTTTGTGTAAATTAAACAGATCGGGTTTGATCCTGGATTAGTGGCAATTTATTGAAAATCTTGCAGTATAATAAGATGAAAATGAATATGCCAGGCTTCTATTTTAGAGAAATCACTTGATTGCTGTACGAGCTGTGGAAGGAAGGGCCATGAATCTGGCAATAGTACAAGAATTGAGAAGTCTCATTTTTCTTTTCTCTCTCAGTTCATCTTTGCATTTCATTTCTTTTTTTAAATCCCAATGACTTCATTGTCATTTGTGGAAATGATACATAATTGTTAAAAGTGAAGGCAGGCATTGCAGAAATGTACAGTCTCAACATTTCCACCACCAAGAAAGTGTTAATATTTCATGAATATCATGCCAGCTACTTCTGTAGAGATACGTGTTTGTATAGAAGAATAGAGCGATCAAAAGACAGAATTTCATAAATTTAGGAGTC